ACACACACACACACACACACACACACACACACACACACACACACACACACACACACACACAGCCTCACATTGACGCTTTTCTCTAAAAAATGAAAAATGTATGAGCTCAGGAAATAAATCTTAGCGATATATCTTGGAAAAAAATGCAAAATATCTCTTCCTTTTTATTCAGGTAGGACCATTTCAGTCTTAGGAGAATTGGATAGTGGCTCTCACACACACACACACACACACACACACACACACACACACACACACACACACACACACACACACACACACACTGGCTCAGCAAAAGCTCAGTAAACATGGTGGAGCTCACCCATACTTTAGGAAATGTGTGTGTGTGATGGAACCTTGATCTGATCACTTAACCCCACCCTACAAAATATCAAACAATGGCTACTTATCTTTCCCATCATGTTCTTTTTGGGTGTATGCGTGCATGCACATCCATTTGTCTGCGTGTGCCTGCCAAGCGGAGATTTACAGAAAAGCTTTCTACATAATTGAAGATTTTTTTTTTTCTCTTCTCTGACATATTGCTGAGTCAGACACTTTCGGAGGGAGCAATGTCTTTTAGCAGAGAGCTCTCTCCACCCTGTGTATATGTGTGTGTGTGTGTGTGTGTGTGTGTGTGTGTGTGTGTGTGTGTGTGTGTGTGTGTGTGTGTGTGTGTGTGTGTGTGTGTGTGTGTGTGTGTGTGTGTGTGTGTGTGTGTGTGTTGAAAAATAAGCATATCAAAAAGCATTTATCCGTGTGTATGTCTACGTGTGTTTTTATGAGCGTATATTTATGCATGCGCAGCTGCGGTGTGTATTCATACGAGTGTGCACCTCCATTATCCGTGCCGGCGGTTCCCCTGGGTCCAGTTCTAAGTGTGTGTGCCTCATCCCGTGCATGATGATGACTTGCATCATCACCTGCAGCAGCAGCAGACACATTATGTAAGACAACACTCCGCTGCAGAGGGACTTTTCCTGCATTACAAGAAGCCTCTGCACCGAACAGGCCTCACACACACACACACACACACACACACACACACACACACACACACACACTCAAGGTTATGGCTCGGGGCAAGGTGGGCAGGTCACATACGTTCGCACACGTGTTCTCTCTCCGTGTCACGTAAACACACAAGCAGCGGCCCATTCCCATTGCCCCCGACTCTGCTGTCACACCCTGGAAAGGTCAGCACATTTACACTGTGACAAGGCCTGACCTTTGAGAGCATGCAGTGCTCAGGAGCAGGCTGAATCTTAATGGACTGGATCGTGTGTTTATGTGGGTTTGGTCGTACGCACACGTGGGAGCGCGTGTGTTTGGGCGCTAAAGTAATGTATAGGTTTATTTGAACACCCCGTCCCAAGACTTAGGTGGAGGACTCAAAGGTTGGACTGGGATATAAGGGCACAGGGTAGAAGAAGAACAAGAGGGTCCCTTCCCTTCCCCGTGGGCAGGCAGCGTTAAAAGTCTCATTAGAAAGTTAATGACAGGCATAAAGGACGTGACATTAGCGCTGGGTTAATGTCAAGTCCTTTCATGCCTGCCATTTCTCCAGCTGGGGCGCCGTGCCACTCATTTCCACAGGAAGTTCCTCTAAGCGGATCAATTGTGTATCACGCAGCGTTTGTTGCCCTCGGTGCCTTTCATAGTCTCTAAATGATAACGGTTGTCATGCAGCAAGACCAGTGGGAGGCTCTATTATTGACACTAACAGCCGCCCAGCAGAGAAAAGGGTTGGAGATGGATCCGTGTGATTTTTTCTTTGGGGATGTTTGCACAGTTTTGTGTTTCAGATCCAATTGATGGACCTGTCGGGGAAATATGAGAAATAAGATGATTTTCAGTTCAGCTATTTCATGTCAGTTAAGTTTGAAAAGGAAGCGATATATCTGTAGCTGCATTAATGATAGACAACACACTCGGCCTGAACCATCTGCTCCCAATAACCCGGCGCTTTCTCCCACCTCACATTCCTCCAGCAGCCTGCTCAGCACATGTCTGTTTGGCGCACATGTGATGCGCTTTAATGTGCAAATTGCCTTGCCGTAGTGTGTTGTTTGCCTGTCCCGATGATTTAGTCGTGCTTAAATAATTGTCAAAGGCAGAGAGAACATCATACATTTGACTTTTTGTTTGCTTTCACTTCTTCTGAGCCAGTATGAGTTATAGTGAGTGAGACACTTGGTAACACAGAGGAAAGTTCCAGAAAGAAAACAGAGTGGGAGTTTTTAAACACATCTATCCATCAGCCTTAACCCCGACTCTGGATCTGTGTGCAATGTGTGTGACTGTAGCGTGTGTGTCTGCATACTTGTTAGACTGATGCTAACGCCCTAGCGCCCAGACACAACATAAGGGGAGGATTCTTGGGTGCTTGTCTCTGACACGCTGTGGGATGGAAGGAAATGGGAGATGAAGTTAACTTTCGGACAGTGACCTCACACTCTCAGTTATGATAAGAGCTTTAACTCACCCTAAACACGCAGCACAATGAGACAAGCTGTTTATGTGGTGAATTATGGTTTGAAATGGCTCCAAACAGCTGCGTACCTCTCAGTTTTCTGTTAAAAAAGTATAGTAACTTCATATTTTATTTCACATACAGTTGCTTCATTTTTATTTTATTACTTTGCCTCTTATATGTGATATGTAAGCCACTGCCCCTTTGCTGTAATACACGTATTATTTCCGATTCTAACTCCCAAGACAAAGCAAAATATATCACACACTGTCTGGTTATTAAAGCTGTATCCATCCACTGTAAGTCATTACTTCCTGGTCCTTTCTGCCTTTGTTTCTTATCACTTCCTCTCACATCTGTTTTTCTTTGCCCTACCTCACGTATGGGAGGAGAAATTCCACATGAATAACCTCTTGAACAAACATCCTGTGATTAGTGTGTCCTTATTGCTGTGATCTAATGTGTGTTTCTTCCATTGACCTGAGCTGTGTGTTGTGTTTGTTTCTGCAGAAATGACCACGCCGGCCAACACCGCCACGCCGACTGTTCCCGCCGACGCTGAGACCACCACCGCCACCAGCTTTACTACAGGTGAGGCCAGGCAGCATTAATGGTGTTATTAGAGGAGTAATAGAAAAGATGAAAGCCTTTGAAAGGACATTATGTAAAGCAGAAAGCATTTCTCATAGCTTTGTGCCCTTTGGCTCTCTCTCCCTCTCCACAGTAGCCACCTATCCTCCATCAGACAGCATTTGTGACTTCGATCAGGGCCTGTGTGGGTGGACTCACGACCGCAACGCCCCCCTGCTCTGGACCCTGCACAGCCACGGTGAGTCTCAACATCGGTCATAGGAAGATCCTGCGTGATTCACTGCCTGGTTAACGACTCACGAACATGTGATGGACAGCGAGCTGCATGTAGTTCTGCTGGATTTCTCCTGCTGCTGGCTGCTCTGGCAGACTATGGATATCTCTAATTCTTTTTCTGGATCTTTGCTGCAAAGCTTTTATGTATGCACGGATAATTTCATTACGGGCGCAGAAAATTGCACAAGCAGAAATGCATTTATTTTATTTTTATCAACTTCGCCGAGTCCAGATACTAATTAAATGGAGTCGTTCTCCGTCTGCATCTTCATAGAGTCCTTTTTTTCAATTTGATTAAAATAATTCAGCAGCGACGTCGTCTGCCAGCCGCGCTGATCTTCTCCGAGCGGATGAGAATGAAAATGGATTTAGGAAGGGAAGGAGATGCCGCCGCCATTTTCAGCACATACAGCTTCACATGCGACACACACCAGCTCCCTCGCCTGTGTGTGTCAAAACATGTGACGTCTCCCAGGAAGGGGTTAAGACCCGGTAGCTCCAATTAAGTTCAGAGCAGGAGACTCCAAAGCGTTTATTCCCAGCCGTCCGCTGCTGCCCCTCCATCACCCCAGGCACATCCTCCGTCTACTTAGTCACTCCTTGAAGAAATAATTATTCACTTTCCCTTTTTACACAGCCCCGGCTCAAAAGTGCAGCTTTCGGCGTGTTATTAAAAACTATAGACCTGCTGGGTTTAGGGAGGGTTCTTTTTTATGGCACTATTTATAGTTTTTCATCAGGATTGTTATCCAACTTTGTTTTAAAATGCACGTGTGTCTCGAGCAAAGTCTCCATGAAAGATTCAGCTTTAGGGAATCAAACAAGAGGTTCAACCCGGCCTGCTTCTTTTTATTTTTTTTTGTCAAATTGGCGATGTCACCTGTGTCGTGTTCAGCAGCTCCTGAAGCGTGAGCGATTCAGGTCAAAGCCATCTTCGACAGCGGGCTTCAAAGCGGCGTCTTTCATCACGGCCGGATCGGGAAAGGTTGCTCAGATTAGTCAGGTTTGTGGCTTTCATGTCTGGAGTATCATTTCCAAGTCTTTTTTTTTGACACGCCACGCCAGCCTTTGATTCTCCCGCTGATGTCGAAGGTCAGCCGACGCAGGATCATTACTTCACTGCTATCAAATCACTGTTTAATCCTCCATAGACTTCCTTTACTCCAGGAGACCCAGACACCATGATCCCCTCACCTCCTGACCCAAGCTATGAAACCAGTTATTAGGCAGAGAGGAGGAATTAGCCCCGTGTTATTTGTCTTAATAAACCCCCACTAGGAAAAACATGCTAAATAGGCTTCATAGATTGAACCCTTGTTTGCCTCTCGCTGCAGGAGACCGCTGTGAAATGGATTAATAATGCTCTGTTGTGCTGCGTATGGAGAGGCAGGCTCGATTATGAGCTGTCTGGCGAACAAGAGGCACAACAATGGGGGGTGCGCTGCGAGACGCCGCGCTTCAAATGTGAGGACGGAAGAGGCTTTGGTGCTCGCATTAAAACGTGTGATGAAACACCTTCGCACATCATCCGTAGGTGGAGTGTATACAAAGGGAAACAGTAGCATGTGGAGCAGAGGAGAGCACACACACCACTCCTTCCAGGGCTGAGAAAGGCCGAGGGACACACTGTCACACACACTGTCTGAAGTGTCACACACAGGCGAGTCTGTGCATATGGCGAGCAGAGGAGAGCTGTCAAGTCCCAGGAAAATCTGTCCCTCCGGATACTGCTTGTCGGATCTCCTGGACACACACACACACAGCGAAAGGTTATCGACCCAGTCGTTCAATAACGTAAGCACGGCAGCGCGAAAAACACACTGGATGCTACTACAAGGTGCTGTAGATAAAATCAGACGCTGTTGTAAAGAAAACAACATTGGAAAACTACCGTAGCTCTCCCCGATTTGTCTCACACCACTTGTTTCCTTGCTTGTACGACAGAAAGGCGCGCAGTTGAAGCGGTTCATGATCAAGCAGGTGATGTAATGGAGATTTCCCCACAAGGCCCACTTAAGAAATTCCTCACTAGACGCCTCCTTGAGTCATTCTCTCACAAACACAACCTGAAACATACTGTAGGCTCACGATCGCTCACAATGGAATTCATGTCTGCGTCCAATTTGCAAACTAAACATCCTCTGGTGTAAACAAATGGGGCGGCGTGCTTTTTGTTGCACTTTTCCATAGTGTAAGTATTTTACCTGGAAGGGAATGAAGAGAAATGGGCCCCGAGGGTCTTTGCTGGAGTTCTGTTAGCGCTCCATGTGACGCTCTAACTGGACCCATTCTTCCCTGTGTTTACATTTGTCACTTCCCTATTGTTAGCGGTGACTATTGTGCACTTGTGATCCAGTTCCTGTTAGCAAGTGGTGATTCATTTCTTCTTTTTTCTGTTGGAGATATCTGTAATTGTGTGAAAACATATGTATGTATGTCTGTGTGAGCAAACAGCAGTGATTTGTGTTGGTAATTGTGTGTATGAGAAGTGCCCCACAAACCGGTTCCAGCCGAATCCACTTACAGAGCATATCAGAAGTCTATACATCCTTTCCAATGTCCTGTGTTTCATTGCCTCCAGCTGAAATGAAAAAGCCCATTAAATCCCGCTTATTATTTTTACTTTCATTTGACTGCAGCGAGCAGCGAACTGAAGGTTAAAACAAAGCTCTGCTCATTTCAGCAATCTGGTACAAATACTAAAACAGCTTGATTGCACATCGCCGCTGTGAGATTCTCAGTGTTTCTTTTATTTTTCACTTAACCCTATGACTTTACCCACTTAAATTTGAAAGAGTCACACATTTCCAAAGTTTATCGGATTTTCAAAACGTGGAAAGCCTGGATTTAGAAACAGTTCTCAAACCACTTGTGATATTAACTGTTAAATGACACGTAGTCAGAGCAACACAACTAATCTCCGTGTTATTTCCCCTCCAGAGCTCAACAGCTACCTGCACATGGACGCCAGCCTAAAGACGGAGCAGCAGCAGGCCTGGATCGTGAGCCCGGTGCTGGGGGCCGACAGCGGGCCCCTGTGCCTCAGCTTCTCCTACCAGCTGTCGGGGGAGGCCCAGGGCCACCTGAAGGTCCTGCTGCGGGACGCCCACAACGAGGAGACCGTGTTGTGGACCCTGAAAGACGACCAGGGCCCCGTGTGGAGGGAGGGACGCACCATCCTGCCTCGCTCCCCCAAAGACTTCCAGGTAATTAAAGGTTTCTTCTAGTTTTCTGGAATGGATCACATTAGACTATAGGCGCGTTCACACCAAGTACTTTTCCCACAAAGGTTCCTGAGAACTCTTTAGTTCTCATGAACTAAGTACAGATCGCGTTCACACCGGAAATTAGTTCCTGGGGGTGGATTAGGCAAATGAAGCCGCTGATGTCACTTCTTCTTCTGCTTTGGGTTTACTGGCAGGCCGCAAACAACTTCACGGCGTATACTGCCGCCCAAGATCCCCGGCCGGAAGTCCCCGGAGTTAGGGACTGGCTTCAGTAGAAGTTGCTGGGACTTATGTTGCCATAAGTTAGTCTCTCTGCGTTTCTGCGCTGGGCTAATGCTAATGCTAACAATGCAATGCGAGGATAATAAAATGGCGGCTTCACAAAAGTTTTTGGGAGTTGATGGGGCGTGGTTTGCATTCCGCCCAGCCAATCAGACACAGGAACCTTTTTCTCGCACTAAAGTCTCTGCTCTCTAGCAGGGACTGAAAAGGGGGTAAAAAAGGTTCTCTAGAACTAATTTAGTTCCTGGGACTTTTTGGTGTGAACGCAACCAAATCGTAGTTCTCAGGAACCTTTGTGGGAAAAGTACTTGGTGTGAACGCGCCTTATGTTAGAGTGTGCCTGCTTGACAATAGGTATCTGGGTCATACCCTTTATTGTATGCCTATGTCTTTAAAGTCTTTGGTTAGAGGGAGATCAGTCTTCTCAGAGCATATGAAAGCATCCGTTTTCCATCACCTAAGGCCAGGCTTCAAACACAGCTAAACTAACCCATATTGTCTCCACTGGCTGTGTGATTGTTTGGGGAGCGTCGTGCATTTGTCAAAGACATCACAAGCAGTTAGCGCGCTCATAAAAAAGTCAGTTCAAGGAGCTCGCAGAGATGGGGAGGATGATGTTGAGTGCAACTTTGAAATCACAGGCACCGTATTAAGTTTTCATCCTCTTTCTCCTCCTCTTCCTGCTGTCCCCATCTTCGATGTGCCTCTGCTCCCTGTTGCCTTCCTCCTGTCTCCGTCTTCCTCTTCCTCCTCTTGTTTCTCAACTTTGAATACCTCGTCTTCCTCCCGCGCTAGGTTGTGATGGAGGGTTTCTTCGTGCACGGCACCAGAGGACACATCTGGATAGACAACATCCACATGAGCTCCAGCACGCCCCTGAAAGAGTGTGGGTGTGTGATACTTATAATCCTTCCGAAGGAGAAGGACAAACGTGTGACCGTGTGCCTTGCACGATTGACGACAGGAGAGACTCATTTGGGAAGAGTACGTTACCTATGAGGTCCAACCTAGGTTAACAATGGTACTCGAAGAGACATCCGACTATAACCTGGACTCCTAACACAAATCAAATAGTATGGAACACGACCTCTAAGTCTAAACAAACTACACGTAGTAAATAGACGACAAGGAGACAAGCCAACAAGACTAAAAGAGAAAGAGCTACGTAAGGGAGAAAAGACGACCGAGTACAAGAGAGGGAGTTCTGTAAAAATCGAGGCAAGAAGGAATCCTTCAGATAGACGAACGTGAATCTGAAGATAATGCAAAGGTGAACGATTGAGAAAGGCCGAGAGAGCTGGGAGAAGGAGTTTAAGAACCATTCAAATCGAAATTATATGAGTGGAAGGTTTCTTGAATCTAAACTGAAGCGGACGATACACTTTTCCTAGGGGGGACTTCTGTACCTGGTTGAAAATTTTTATTTCGGGCACCCGCCACAGCGAAGTCTGTCTCTCGACATTCTTGGCTCTCTTACAGGTTTATACTTAGATCCCTTACACTTCGTCTCGACTATGACGAGGACTAAAAAAAGAAAGAATAAAAACAACCTGGCAACAGATGTTAGTAAACAATTGTAACTCCCTTAACCACGCACAAACTCCGACGATGAAAAGTGATAAGACGTGTGGTGGAGGGTAATCTCGTCTCGACTCAATCCCTCTCCTCAATCATCTCGTAGGGAGACGCAGGACGCGACAAGACGAGTCAGTGAGACTTGAGACTAAACGAGGTGACCCCTGTAGACCACACACACACGCACAACTACCACTACAAGTACCACAACAGACAACGTACAAAAATCAGTTCCCAAATAACTCTGATACGAGGCCACACACACACTTCCGTAACTGGGCTCATTTATCAGACTAATCTATACGTGTGTGTAGTGTAATTCGTGCCTTTGGCGGCCCCGAGAATAAGATAAACCTTCATGTAATCTCTAACGGTTTTTGATCGATTGTAGTTAGAGTCCAGGGGGTCCTACCGAGTTTTATAAGTAAAGGTTAACCTCCGTCTCGTCAATAAATTTTGCGGAAGTCCGGACACAGTCACCGTCACTCTTTATACATCGAGAAACGTTATAGACTTGCCAGGTACTCCCACGCGCAACTTAAACTCGAACGGGAACGTGGGCGTCTTCAATCGGAGAAACCTCTGGATTGGCGAAACAAAGGTGGACTCTGACTGTTCCATTTTGCGACCGTGTTGTCGAGTCCACGTAATGTGCGGCTAAATAGAGTAGAACCCGTAAAAAAGTTTAAATCTAAAATCCGCTCCCCAAATCATACAACTAACCACTGCACGTGTACGGCTTACGGTAACTTGGTGGTCAAAACTTATTACTTGACGTCTACATAAGTCAGACGTGCGTCTCAGTCGATATCCTCTGATTGCGAACAGAGGTGACTTGACTGTCCTTGATACGTGTTGTCGAGTCACTCTTTAACCTAAAAAATTAAATCTTCTCCCCAAAATATCTCCTTTCACGTGTACGCTGGTACTGCGTGGCAATCTTTTACTTCGTCTACATAAGTAGCCTTGTGTGTCCGATCTCGGCTGAGTCGAGACACAACGACGCAACCCGAAATAATCCAAACTATGTTGGCGGGGTTCGTCGTTTTGTGGTCCGATCACTAGGTTAGGTTGCCGTCCTTGTTCTGGTGTCTCCTGTCACTGTAGTTTGGTCTCAGTTGAGTGGACCCCAAAAGTTCTCTCTTTTGCGACGCTTCCCCAAGAACGCTCACTGTTTCTCTCTCCAGTAACCTCTGTCCTCCTCTCTCTGTTGACAATCTATCGAAATTTATTCTAGTCCCTTCTCAGTCCCGGGTTTACAGTGTGTTACAGTGTTTTCTGTAGTTTAAGAGAACGGACTCCATTTACACTCAATAAGGAGTCGTCTATTGGTACCTCATACCGTAAATTGTGAGCCGACGAACCGGTCTTACGTTAAGTCGATCACCTCTTGATTTAGATTCTAACCGATTCAAATACCGACCACAACGCACACACACACACACACACACACACAACCACACACACACCAACAACACACACACAGGTAGCGGTTTCAAGTGCGTAAAGTTCAACAAGATGCGGCTCCGTCAATTTGACTCGCTCGTCCAAAAAATAAAAAGACCGAACGACGTTACGTGTCTCGCTTGGAAATGAACTAACCGACTTAGCGTTTGTGTCTCTTGACTAGTATTACACACACACACACACACACACACACACACACACACCACACACACACACACACACACACACAACACACACACACACACACACACACACACAACACACACACACACACACACACACACACACACAAACAGTCCCCCGCTCCAACCCTCTTTTCTTTCTGGCCTTTGGGCTGAACCCTTAACACGGAGAACCGCCCTTGGGTTTGTATGACACTTTTGAGCTGACCGCCAACCCACTATTCGTTGTAGGGGTCGTACGGAGGACCCTCACCGCTTCCTCCACTCCCTTCCCTCCTTCCTCCTTTGTGTCGTCGAACCTCCCGTCACCCACCCCCCCAGAATCAACAGTAGAAACGGAAGGTTCGACGGACACGCCGTAGCTGAGAGACTCCTAGAGTACTGTGTCTGTTTACTAACTATGGTTTTTGTTTGTGTTCGTCTTCACAACCTTCGCTGTGTGTGTGGTGTGTGTGTGTTGTGTGTGTGTGTGTGTGGTGTGGTGTGTGTGTGTGTGTGTGTGGTGGTGTGTGTGTGGTGTGTGTGTGTCGTGTGTGTAGTGTGTTGTGTGTGTGTGTGTGTGTGTGTGTGTGTGTGTGTGTGTGTGTGTGTGTGCGGTGTTTGTGTGTGTGTGAGGTGTGTGTGACGTCAGGTCTACTGCAGTCCCAGGACCGGACACGTGGGGCCGAGCGAGGAGACTAGACAAATTCTGAGGAGAGGTTTCGGGGACCGAGCCCGGTCTAATTCCCGAACCCGACCGCGAGGCCGGAGCGTGGTCCGTGGCCTTCAACGAGCCCTTTTGTCGGACAGATCATTAAGGGAAACTGCCGAGCCCTTTTCGAGACAAATGGTTTATGTTGCCTCCTACTCGCCGCTCTCTCTCTTCTTCTCTTTAGATTACTTTTGTATCAATCGTAGCGGCCACCGGGTGCCCCGGCAAATTACCGGATCAATGATAAGGAAGAAAGAAAAAGAAAGACCTCCTTATTTGCGACAGGGAGGGGAGGAGGAAAGGAGGAAAGTAGAGGTACGAGCCACCGAAGAGCCCTCTTTTCCGACAGAGGCTTTGACCCTACCCAAATCCCCACCCCCCACAAATAGAGACGTACACACAGTGACGACCAATTTTCACCTCCTCCACACACAAACAAAAGTTTATAAGGACAGCCTCACTCTTCTACCTCTTTTTTTTCAAACAGTGGTATACACACAGACAGTCGTCACACCACACACACAGACACTCTCACACACACACAGACAGTCTCACACACACACACACACTCTCACCACACACAGACAGTCTCACACACACACAGACACTCTCACACACACACAGACCCTCTCCACACACACACACAGTCTCACACACACCACACACACACACAGGCTCACACACACACACACACACACACACACACAAGTCTTCACACACACACAGTCTCACAACACACACAGTCTCACACACACACACAACACACACACACAGTCTCACACACACACAGTCTCACACACACACACACACAGTCCTCACACACACACAGTCTCACACACACACACACACACACCACACACACACGCACACACACAGTCTCACACACACACACACACACACACAGTCCACACACACACACACAGTCTCACGCACACGCCCACACCACACACAGACAGTCTCACACACACACAGTCTTCACACACACACAACACACACGCACGTCTGACACACACACACAGACACAGACAGTCTCACACACACACAGACACTCTCCACCACACCCACACACACAGACAGTCGTCACACACACACAGACAGTCTCACACACACACACAACACACACACCACACACACACACACACACACACAGACAGTCTCACACACACACACACACTCTCACACACCACACAGACAGTCTCACACACACACACAGACACTCTCACACACACACAGACAGTCTCACCACACCACACAGACACTCTCACACACACACACACACACAACACCACACACACACACAGACAGTCTCACACACACACAGACAGTCTCACACACACACACACACACACACACACACACACACACACACACAGACAGTCTCACAACACACTGAATGCACACTGTGAGAAAGTCCCCGCACGACCTCGAGTACACCTACAACAGATAGGTCTACACCAGGCAGACCACGCGGCACGTGCTTCTTTGGGAGGTAGTGTTGGATCGCGGCCCTCCTTCTNCTCCCAGGCGGGGATATGTGTAGCAGCGTGAGTGTGTGTAGCAGCGTGAGTGTGTGTAGCAGCGTGAGTGTGTGTAAGGTCGTCACCTCTCCATCAGGCGCTGATGGAGAGGTGACGACCTTACACACACTCACGCTGCTACACACACTCACGCTGCTACACACACTCACGCTGCTACACATATCCCCGCCTGGGAGCTGTTAAGCTTCGCCGCAGGATTGCACTGCTGGCCACTGAGCGGTGAGAGTTTAGACCGGAGCAGAGAGGACAAGTTCTGCAGCCTCATGTTAAATATATTAGACTGCCATTAGTGAGATGAAAGCATGTAATAACTGCACTGTTTTCAATTCTCAAACACCAACATTTTAAATATGTTATATTCAAAGCTTTGTCTTTTCGCTGTGCTGCACACATCTTATGTACACTCACTGACTGTGGGGAAAGTCCCGCGTACATGCAAAAGCACTTGGAAATGAAACTCCTGCAGATATGGATGAGCGGGTTGCACTGAGGGGAACTTGCTGAGGGAGGATGTGAGAGGCAGAAATGAGGATTAAGGGGATGAGGGAGGTATAATACGAGGAGCCAGGAGGCAGGGGAAGTAGGGAGTAAGGAGAGGATGACGGCTGGGGGAGAAAGGGGGGAGGGCAAGATGTTGGAGAGGCTCCTACAGAGACAGGAGGAGGAGGAGACACAGAGGAAGAGAGGAAGGGCACGAGGAAGAGAGATGGGGAGATGTTAGTTGTGTTGACGGTTTAAGAGAACACAGATCAAAGTTTCATGCTGTTATGTCACTGCAAAAGCAGGGGATGTAAATAATAAATAAAAGGCATAGAAAGTGTGTGTGTGTTTGTGTGTGCTGGTGGGTGGTGTCTGTGTACATTTCATTGGGGGGTGTTTGCGTTTGAGGTCAAATGCTATATTTAGAAGCTGTGGAAGTACCTGTGCTAACGGTTGCTCTGATAGCAGCTGTTGAGGGAGACGCGAATCACAGTTTCTGATGTAAGAGTGAACGGGGAGCCATGAATGATTGATCCATACTCATCTCTCAATATAGAGGAGACATCAAAAAAGGTTCTAAAACCACAAGGGGGGAAAACTCACAGGAGGGAGATGGAGACAGAAAGTGAGTGCGGAGAATAAATGGAGAGAGGGAACTGACACTGCTGCTGGAGAACAGAATCAAAGTTTCCTTAATTAGCTTCCTATGTGTAAGAGATATCAGGAGGACTGTGAGAAACTAAACCTACATGTGTGTGTCAATGACAGTGTGGGTGTGTTAATTTTTTGCAGTTAATGTTGATTATAAATGGGTGGGAAGCTGTTTCAGTCAAAGTTATAGAGTGTGAAGCCGGGTGATTCTGGAAACCTGTCAGCTGGCAAAATGAAGGTTAGAAAAGTCCAACCCGTGACACACACCTGTGATCTGGCACCCGTAGAGCTCGAAGCGCAGGGCGATGCCGTTCTTCCAGGTCTGTGGTCGAATACGAACAAACCGGGCGAGGACCGGCTGCGGGACGCGGTTCAGAACCACCTCAGTCGGGTCTGTGTTGCCGTGGAAAATCTGTAGAGTAAAGAGAGACAAAGGTAAGGAGATGTACCGCTCATTATGGTATCAGTTCCTCTTTCTCACACACACACTACACTGCTCTACACACCCCCACAGTGCACGGTTTCGCTCTGCTTCACACACAAACACAGTGGCAGTCCGGACAAAGCAGAGACAACCCAAACACGGATCCGATGTCACCGGCCCAGCTGTCGATGTGTTTTGGGGTCAAAGGTTCGACGCTGGGAGGCTGGGAAAACCTGACGATGGATGAGGGTTTCACACACACACACACACACACACACACACACACACACACACACACACACACACACACACACACACACACACACACACACACACACACACACACACACACACACACACACACACGGAGAAGGAGAGGAAGTGTCTTTAAGTGAGTGACTGTTAAGTGTCATTCACTATGTGTCTGTGGTCGCTGTGGGTCTGGAGATATTCCGCTAACCTCAGAGCCGCAGTGCACAATGGAAAGACAAGTGCTACAAGCAGCTGAATTAAACATTAAAGGCATCATTTCCTAAAAAGATGCCTTCATGATTTTCCTTTTCCTCTCTTCCTAGCACAGGATGATCAAACCAAAGCACGCTCCCTCAGCTTAAGAATTTGATCCCGTCTTGTTTTGATAATGTTGTTTTGTGAGTCTGCAATATTGGCGTTAAAATGAATTATTTGTCAAATTCCCTGTGTGGCACATACCTCCAAAAATTGATATGATATTCCAGAAATTCCATAACCAACGGGAATATGATAGATACGAATTCAAAATCCGACTCAAGGGGTTTTATTTGATTTTGGGCATGGCCTGATTTAATCAAGTGCAGCTGACACTGGTAATACAAAGCAGTGTGAGTGTTTGAACAGATAAGCGGGTCTATCTGCGCGGTATCTGCTGCTGGAGTGAGGATAGACAGCCGCTGTGTTTACCTCAGAGGCCAAACAGTGGATGTGGGCTCTTATGGGGGTTATGTAAACACCCACGCATGCTCACACAAAGTGGAGCGTATAGCGAAGGGCTCGGCTCGCATACAACCAACCCATCTCCACCGCTCCCGGATAATGTGTCCGTGAAACAAAGAGCAGCATAGAGAGGACAGGAAAAACAAGAAAAATGTCCTTAGATGAACGGTTTTAAAAACAGATGAAGAAAGGGAGGAGAGGTTGAATGGAGGGCAGCAGATATAACTGAAAAAGGAATGAGGAAGAACAACGGACACATTCATCACCAACAAACCAATACTTCATCCAAGTGTTCATATCTTGATAAGGAAAAACGGCTAAATTATTCGGAATGTCCTCCATCTTGAAATGAATGGTTATCTTTATATAACATTCATAATCTGACAAACACCGTCATTCAAGATTCAGATAAAAATATAATTAATTTGATTTCCAGAAATTAAGTTAAACAAATGGATTTATAATAAACATGTCTGCCTGCCTGCCTGCATTCACAATAATGAATTAGATAAATGCATTTCATGTCAAGATTTATCATGGCATGACTTTGTCTGTGAACTTTTGAAAGTTCTGAAAAGTCTGTTAAATATTTGTCCACTTCAATTTCCCTTTGAACGAGATGCCCACCACGACTAAAAGGCCATTAGCTGGGTGCATTTCAATATTTCCAGCTGCATTCCTTTCTTTTTATCTTAGATTATACATCTCTTCTTTTTATCCAATCATTACTGACACAGAAATAAATATCAGTTCAATATGAATCGGCTCTCAAGAGGCCCTTTGCTTTTCTCCTTTGGAGGTGAGAGGGGAGACAGAAGATGAGATGTCAGCTACTTCTATCTCCTCCACTTCCTCCCGTCTATTGTCCCGCTACCTGAGGGTCACTCATCTGACCCCAGACCCATTACTGCCAAGGTCAAAAGGTCAATACCCTTAGGCAGCAGATGGTTGCTCATTGACCAACTTGTAGATAGCATAGTTACTTTTTGACTAACTAGGAATGTGACATGAATTGAAATGTAGCGGCCTTTGCATTGGTGGAAAGTGACTAAGGACATTTACTCAAATATAGCACTTTACTTTCCTTGAGTATTTTCCTTTATGGCTACTTTTAAGTCGGGACTTTGACTTGTAATGGAGTATGTTAAGACCATAGTATTAGTACTTTTTCTTACGTAAAGCAGTACTTCTTCCAACGCTGCATACTGTCAGTGTGTTCTGTGGCCTCCTCTGAAATCTGCCTGACGACTGGCATGTTTTTGTGCCATGCAGGCAAGGTGGGCTGAATAATTAACGTCGTCATGTTGTGTCTGCTAGTGTGGAGGCTCATGAAAATATAACGAAGCCCCGCGCACACACACACACACACACACACACACACACACACACACACACACACACACACACACACACACACACACACACACACACACACACACACACACAGAGGTGATTGTAATCTCTGTGTTTTTCTCAACTGGCAGCAATTTTACACTTTTACAAGAAAGAAATGTGTGTTTCCCACAATGCCAGCGTCTCTCTCTGCCTCTCCAATAATCTGTATTGGCATTAAATCACTCAGTCTTTGTTAACACTGCAAATAAGAACACACATCTTGGCAAATCAACAATAAATCTCCCCCAATATCAAACACAGTGAGACAAGAAGTGCCGAGCCAATCCTTTTTTCCTGGGTGATTCATATATGATGCACACACTCATGATGCCTAAGCCTTCCACAAACACCGCTGCACATGCACTCCCAAAGCCACATCGGCTTCCAGCTCACTGTTGACAATTACAATTAAAAGAAGCAAATCCCAGTCATTACAGGACCCCCCGACGAGATTTCAGTTTCAACCACTTAAAGGCTCTTGGGGGGGGGGCTTAGGACGGGCTAACTGGGAGTTTGTTCGACAAGGCAGTGGATTAGCAGTCACGGAAGACTCACCCTAACCCGCAGGGACCGGAGGCTCATGGGGAGGGTACAGTGAACTCAGCGCTGGGCTCAAATGATGACTGCGACTCGTGTGTCGTTCGTCAAAAGTGTTATTATTTCCTCCTATATCATCCATCACTGTCTGTGGTCGGCGAAAATACAAAGAAAGTTTTATTCAACTTAATCCGAGATGTCTGTGTTATACATCCAGAATGTGATTGAAAAATAAGTCTCTGTGGATTCAAAGCATCGTTCATTGAACTCAATGTTGTCATACTTTCTTTATGATCATCAAAACCAGATGCTATACTTAATTGTATCTCCATTTTTTTTATAGATGATGTAATGCCCCATTGGCGCAAAAACTTTTCTGTTGGCTTTTAAGTCAAATCTGTTTATTGATTTTTCAATTTCCTTCTGGACTGGGTGCATTCAAAAGTAGCAAGCGTTACCAATTTTCTCATTTTTAAAAGGGACCACTCAGTGAAGCAGCATCCCTCCTAAAAGCTTGTCGATGTCTCTGTCTGAGTCCATGTCTGGACGTTGGGACAGATTAGAGGACTCAGATTACACGGGACAGACACACACATCATATACATATGCACACACACACACACACATGCAGATCTGCAGACGGAGAGATCAGCCAGATGTTATTTAAAGGAGGGGTCTGTGCATGTTGCACGTGTGTGTATGTGGAAGAAGTGGGGGGGTGTAATAAATCGCACAGATGTTGACTTTTTAAATCAAATCCACGTTTCCCTCAATAATCTCCACATCAAATACCCCCCACTGGCCCCACCCAAAACCAATCACCGGCACACACAGAAGGGGGCCCCCCGGTCTGTGTGGGCGTGTGTGTGGATTAACCCTCCACACACACGCCCACCACTCGCCACCCTCCATTTTCCTGCAATCCATAGTGACCTTAACCCAGATATGTGGAGGTCCAATCCCCTGGAGACGGGCTTACTATCGGTCACATACCTGCACGGTATTCATACACAACCCCCCCCCCCACACAAAACACCATCCATTTCAGAAGATGATGATGCTATGAAACTCCTCACCTGCTCCGTCCACACACCTGGTGACTCCACAGAGCGAGGTGTGTGTTTATGTGTGCGTCAGTGAGATATGATGAATAGCGGCCAGATAAGGGCACATAGAGGACTCCATTGTTCTTGTTTGTCAGCCTCCCCTCCTCTCTTTAAATCTCTATCTCTTCCTCCCTCCTTCCCCTTTTCCCTTCCTCATGACCGGGGTCACGAGGAAGGTTCATTAACAGTCCTTGAAGGAGAACGACTCCTTCAGGAATGTTCCATCTATTGATAGGACTCTCCCGCGTACACAACGGCTCCTTTTGTTGGGAAACGTATCATGATGGTATAATAAAAAGGTTACGGAAAGGAGGTTGTAAATAACTCTACTCCACTTCCATTTCTCGTGTTTTAATGCAGGCTGTTCCTATACACTCACAGGCAGCTATACCTACACAAAGTAATGCACCTTCAATTGTTTATATCCCACAAAAACAATTCAAGTACGAGGAAGTACAACATGTGAACAGTCAGCGTAGTGAGGAGAGTCTTGTTTGAAACCAGATTTGAGTTTCTGTTGGGTAACTACCGTAGATATCAAACCAAACACTTATTTGTGACTGTATGAGGAGCGGGAATTGGCATGTGTATGTTGCTGGACATTCGTAGGAAAACATACAAAAGAAAATTAGAGGAATACAGTTTCATCCAACATCTCACAAGCTGCAGAATGCACGTGAATCCGTATACCTTGTGGTTCTTGCCGTGCCGGTACACCATCCAGTCCTCCCCGTTGGTGCTGACCTCCATCTTGAAGGTGGTGACGTAGTAGGACTTCTGCGTCTCTTTTGAAACGGCCCCCTGCATGGCGATGCCTGTCAAAACCTTCAGGAAGTGGAGGTCAACCTGGGAAGAAAAAAAGTATTTCAAACTAGATTTCCTAATAGATCAGAAAGAACGAGATAGGAAGGCCGTAGGGATTGGTGGTGGTCAGGGCTGATTGAGATACCAGCTGCTGAGTCTATCTGTCACACAGACAGCAGGGGATGGACTCCGACTGTGGCCTGCTGCTGACGGGGCTTACGGGGGGGTCTGTGTGTGTGTGCATCTCTGCATTGTCGTGTGTGAGGGGAGGAAGGCTGGAGGCAAAGATCAATGGCGTAGTGTTCGGATGCATTCCTGAGGAGCACCTTCATCAATCACCGGCCTGTGTGTGTGTGTGTCTCGTGGACAGTGTGTTTTCAGACAGGGAAAATTGAGAGCGCGGAAGCACTTCCTTATCATCGCTTCACAGTTTTATTTTCAGTGTGTGTCACTGTGTATGAGACAGCTGGATGTAGTATGACGTTTCAGACCTGGATGTACTCCTTGTTGCTGTCCTCTGAAGGCGTCCAGGCGTTGTCTCCGTTGTTGAGGCGGGCCTGCCGGGGCAACCAGCGGCTGTCGTAGAAGGACGTGGACGCGGAGATCTGATCGTCGCTGATTTTCCCCGACTCCATGCCCAGCGCCATGCTGCAGTGGAACGCTGAGAGAGAGAGAGAGAGGGGGAGATGGAGAAAGCTGAGCGTTAACTGTGTGTTTGTTGGAGATGGAAAATAAACAGCAAGAAAGAAAAAAAAGGGAGAGAGGAAGGAAGGAGTGATGACAGATGCAAGACTGGAAAAGAAGATCTAAGCAGAATATTATACGGTTTGAAGACAGAGACGGAGAAAGTAAATCCAGACAGAGAAAGGGCAAAGGGAGACAGAGAGCAGCCCAACAGGTGAGCGGAGGTAAATTGAGGTGAAGCTAATTTATATTCTAAAAGAAAAATAGTTTCTGAGTCTGAGTCTGAGAAACCGTGCTCTCTTAGGAGGGAGCAACATAGACTGAGGGGTGAGAGAGAGCTCGAGATTTAAAATAGCATTAAAGTAGGTAAAGCTGAAAAGATCGAGAGGGTAAGAGGAGCGAGAGATGAGGACAGAAAGATGAGTGCCGGCGGCGGAGAAGAAACACACACACACACACACACACACATACCATGTATTCATCACTTCAGGGGACATAAAATTGACTTACATGCATTTCCTGGAGACTTATCCTAACCTTAACCATAACCAACACATGCCTAACCCTAACCCTTAATCTTACCCTAAACCTAACCAAGTCTTCACCCTAAAATGAATGATTCCTCCATTTTGTCCCCATAAGGGAGGCGAGTCCCCACACATATAGCAATGCTAGGCCACACACACACACACACACACACACACACACACACACACACACACACACACACACACACACACACACACACACACACACACACACACACACACACACACACACACACACACACACACGGAGTTATCTGGCACTCACAGTTGCTGACTTCTTTGTGCGTCATGTTGTATCGGGCGGAGAAGCCGTCTTTGGCCACGGCCATGTCGGTGTGGAAGGAGAGGGACAGCAGGCCGGAGGACGACTGGATCTCCGGAGGGATCTTCGTCCCGCAGTACCGACCAATCAGAGGAGACACTGCAGAAACAGAAGGAAATCAAATGAATGAACAATTCTGTTTAAATAGATACATTTTATTTTGATTTCAGGGTGTGTTAGTGCTTTTATTTTGAAAAACTGATCTGGTTTCATATACTGAGTTTGCTATATGACCCTACACGTGTCTGATGGAAGAGGAATCCAGCTCTATACAAGTTCAGTGGCAAGCTGCTCCAGTAAGTGTTGTCTAATGAGTCGCAGCATGCTTCTCCCACATTTATTCCCCCCCATCTCTCCCCCCTTTTCTCTCCTGTCCATCCCTCCATCTGCCATGCGTGTCTCAGCCAAGGCCCAGCAGGAGGACTGGAATCCCTGCCTCTAATGCAAGCTGCACTGGGATCAGCTGCCGACACACACACACACTTACACACACCAGTGAGGATTACAATAGTCTCAAGGGTAGCTCCCTCACCAGACACCAAATTCCTCACCCTTGCGTTTTTCTGTCTCCCGTCCCTCCTTCATGCCCGGGGACTCGGCTCACTGGAACTGGGTTACACTTTAATTTCCTCCTAATTCTCAACTTTGAATGGTATAAATTGTTTTCAGCTATCAAAGCTCCCAAATTCGAGGCTATAATTGGAATTTTTAAATCCACTCGGATCCCTTTTTAGCAACTGCAAATAGAATAATTAGAGCAAAGCCTCAGTTATGCTTCATATTTCAAAAAAGGGGGAAAGAAGTCGGCATGAGAGAGAAAGAGAAAGGTGGGAAGTGAGCCACTACTAATGTGCTTTTCATCAGCACGACAGCAACTAACAGCACCCTATGGCGGTCACTTTCAAAGGCCTTCATAATATCCCCTAACATTTTTTTCCCTCACTACTTCCTGATCTCGACCGATAGGCCACTTTCGCCACCTCCTATTGGATACACACAGATGTTCATCGTAGCCATCACTCTCACTCGCCCGGGGGAGGAAGGAAGCGCTAGGTGATAAGGAGAGAGGACTGGGGGGGGTAGGAAGGGGGGTGATGAAGGGTGTTATTAAGGAGAGGGAAAGGGCTGCTCCTTAGGGGGGTCGAGGCACTTTCAGCTCACCGTGAGAAATAATATTTCCTCTATGTAATGTGTAGTCAGTTCCAATTGCAACTCGTTTGAAAGTCTGAATAAACCTCATTCTCCATTGCGGCCTGAGTCGGCTGGTGTTATCTACACTGAACAAAAATATAAACGCAACACTTTTGTTT